TTCTTGACGTCGATATAAACAAACTTAGACTTCGGATACAGCATGTTTCGTGTAATTTCTTGCCGAAAAGCCTAGGGCAGGGTGTAAAACGGAAACGCGCGCCCCGCTGAACGTTTCGCAAAGTGGGGTCTAGGAGCAAAGCCCCGGCGGGGGTCAAGGGGCGGAGCCACTGAAGCTCAAGGGGTATGGGCATCAGTGGCGGATCCAGGAATTTCTTACCGGGAGGTGGGGGGGGGGCACAAAATGGCATGGGTTTAAATATATGTAAAACGATGAAGCGACAGAACGAGGCTTTAGCGGCGAGGGAGCGGAGCGACCGTAAGCGGGGGTGGGTCTGGCTCCCTCCCAGAGTAAGAAGCATTTGCAATTTTAGAACCAAATTAAAAGCATTTTCAGGCACTTCCCGGAGTAATATGACGTAAAATTGCTTTCTCCTACCTCTTCCAAGAGTAGGTATCTTTTGCAATTTGAGAACCACAGTTGGCGCATTAATGTCCACCAGCACTTCCTGGAAAAAAAATGAGGACTTCTGATTGGTTAAAAGTTAGAAAAAAGTGATCTGTTACGTCTTGAGACGTTGTATATGCTTTGATGCCGCACAATGCACACACGGTGATCCGGTACTTGATCAGTAGTACTTGCAAATTTTTTCTCGAGTGTATAAACTGTGTCGTTATCAGGGGCGTCGCTAGATCTTTGTCAGTGGGGGACAGTGGCGGATCCAGGGGGGGGGGGGTTTGGGGGGGTTGCAACCCCCCCCCCCCCCCCCTTGGGCGGCCCAAAAAAAAAAAAAAAAAAAAAAAAAAAAGGGAAAAAAAAGAAAAAAAGAAAGAAAAAAAGAAAGAAAAAAGAACGCACGCTGGAGAGAAACCCTTTCAAGTGCAAATATTGTGAGAAGATATTCAACTCATCTGGTAACTTAACCAAACACATGATAACTCTGGATATAACTATGTATTAAACTGTTACTTGATTTAAAAAGACGTTATCATGCACTGCTTTTTATGGTCTCCATTGTGTTAATAGATGCCAGGAAAACATCACTTACGGGGTTCAAATAAACACCCCCAAAAAAATCGGCTCGCCGCTTCGCGGCTCGTGGACGATGCTCCGCATCGTCATTATTTTGGTCAACCCCCCCCCCCCCCTTAGCAAAAAGCTAGATCCGCCCCTGGGGGAGTGGAGAGGGTATACAGGCCAACAAAACTAGCAACCAATTACCGGCAATAATGCCAGTGTCCAAATGTTTACAAATTTAACCCTATAAACCAGGGGCCAGGAACTAAGTTATTTTTCAGTCTCCCCCTCCCCCCCCCCCCCTTCGCGCGAAAACTTTGACACTTCATTTAATTATTAGAGAAAGAAGACGATCCGTTGTACCGTACGTTCTCTACTCTTAATTTTTGTTTGGATCCAGTGCCCCCCCCCCTCCTGCGCGAAGCGCGGAAGCTTTAACGATTCATTAAATTATTACTCTTAATCTTTGTCTGAATTCATTTTTGCCCCTCTCACGCGAAGCGCGGAAGCTTATTAGAGAAAGAAGACGATTCGTTGTATCGTGTTCTTATCTGAATTCAGTTTCCCCTCTCCAGCGCGAAGCGCGGAAGCTTTGACACTTCATTAAATTATTAGAGAAAGAAGACGATTTATTGTACCGGTTCCGACTCTTAATCCTTGTCTGAATCGTGAAGCGCGGAAACTCTGACGTTTCATTAAACTATTATTCTTAATCCTTGTCTGAATTCATTTCTGCCCATCTCGCGCGAAGCGCGGAAGCTTTGACACTTCATTAAATTATTAGAGAAAGAAGACGATTTATTGTACCGGTTCCGACTCTTATTCCTTGTCTGAATCGTGAAGCGCGGAAACTCTGACGTTTCATTAAATCATTATTCTTATTTTGTCTGAATTCATTTTCGCCCATCCCGCGCGAAGCGCGGAAGCTTTCACGTTTCATTAAATTATTAGAGAAAGAAGACGATTCGTTGTATCGTGTTCTTGTCTGAATTCAGTTTCCCCTCTCCAGCGCGAAGCGCGGAAGCTTTGACACTTCATTAAATTATTAGAGAAAGAAGACGATTTATTGTACCGGTTCCGACTCTTAATCCTTGTCTGAATCGTGAAGCGCGGAAACTCTGACGTTTCATTAAACTATTACTCTTAATCCTTGTCTGAATTCATATTCGCCCAGCCCGCGCGAAGCGCGGAAGCTTTCACGTTTCATTAAATTATCAGAGAAAGAAGACGATTCGTTGTATCGTGTTCATGTCTGAATCGTGAAGCGCGGAAACTCTGACGTTTCATTAAACTATTACTCTTAATCCTTGTCTGAAAGAAGACGATTCGTTGTATCGTGTTCTTGTCTGAATTAAGTTTCCCCGTCTTCCCGCGCAAAGCGCGGAAGCTTTGACACTCCATTAGATTATTAAAGAAGGAAGACGATTTGTTGTACCGTTCTCGACTCGATCTTAATCCTAGTCTGAATTCAATTGCCCCCCCCCCCCCCCCCGAAGCGCGGAAGATTTGCCGTTTTATTAAATTATTAGAGAAAGAAGACGATTCGTTGTACCGTTCACTACTGTTAATCTAGTCTGAATTCAATTCCCCACTGAGCCCCTTAACGGTACATATGCAGTGTCACAAGATGTAAGTATGGAACGCCCGGCAATGCTTGTCACACTTGCTTCTGGAAAGGATTTATTTTTTACTAATATGTTACTGTTAGTGGCCACTTAGTGACTATAAAAAAACATATGCTCTTCCTGGCCATTTGGGAATGTGTCAGTTTGCAACAGAAATGGAGAAACGCGCATTTTGTTGAAAATCATGTGATATCACGAACATTTATACATCACTTGTATATGGAATTGAAAATAAGTCATGATTCAATTTTATTGGGGGGGGGGGGGGCTGGCGCCCCCCCCCCACCAGTACGCCAGTGTTGTTTAGTGTAACATAAACATATTATCATGCATTGCAAATTCTTTACTTTTTAAATTTTGTATAGGAGGGTGTCTTTTTGAGGTACACTTCTCTATGCTGCGATCTGCAGTTGTTTTATTCATTTATTTATTGCTTGCTTGTTTTGTTTTGTTTTTGCTAGATCTCTAATCATTATAAATACCGGTAGCCATTAAACAAAGATAACGAAACAAGATTTTTTTATCCAAAAATAAATACTGTATTACTGATTCACTAGAATGAAGATAAATGAAGGTAAATATAGGAAATGTATTCACACTTAATCATCACAATTTCTCTCGTTTCCTTGTACTTCTTTCTTTGTCTCTTTCTCTCTCTCATTTCTCTCCCCCTCTCCACCTCTCTCTCTCCCCCCCCCCCCCCCTCTCTCTCTCTCTCTCTCTCTTTCTTCTTCTGGCAATCACCTTTCTTTGGCCTTATCACATAGATTCAACTCTAAATTACACTTTTTCCCTCCTCTCTCTCTCTCATTTTCTCTCCCTCTCTCTCTCTCTCTCTCTCTCTCTCTCTCTCTCTCTCTCTCTCTCTCTCTCTCTCTCGTACACTCCTCTCTCTCTCTCTCTCTCTCTTTCTCACTCTCTCTCTCTCTCTTTCTCTCTCTCTCTTTTCTTTTTCTTCTTCTGCCGATCACCTCTCTTTGGCCTTATCACATCGATTAAACTCTACATTACACTTTTTCAACAACAAAAGAATTTGACAGATGCCAAAATATGTCAGTTCAACAGCATAATTAAATTTTATCTATATTTCACATCAATGTTATACAAACATGAATTATAAACGGATTACAATTCAAGTTTTCCAGAGACCCCAACAATCATTTGGCTATTGATTCTATAGAACAATCCATGGCATTGTGACCTCTATGTGACATTGTGACAGCTATATGACCTCTATGTAACATTGTGACAACTATATGACCTCTATGTGACATATTGTGACAACTATGTGACCTCTGGTTGTAGGTTGCAAATTGTCAAATTCATGATATATATTCACTATACAAATTACATAGTCACTAAATTTAAATTTTATTGACTTACCAGTTCATTTTTATTCATATTTTTGCATGTATTTTCCAAAGAGAACATCTAATAGCCACGATCCTGTACCATATAGTCAGGCCTGTATTATTAAATCCAATAATATTATCAATTATTATTACCCGTATCAGACATCTGAGCAGTGGTTTTAAAAAATCATATTACACTTTTTGTAATCCTAAAAGAGCAAAACAGTAAATATAAGACCATATTACCCTCTCATGAAAAAGCCTATGGACTTTACGTGTTAAAAAAGCAGAAAATAAAGTGTCGTATTCAACGCGCCATATTTTGTCATTTTCATTGTGCATCTATTATGCGTACAAGAACCTGGGCACTTTGCGCGCACTCTATTGTGACGTTATAATTCCACCAAAGACACACACTGTTTGCAGTGTATCGAAAATTTTGTCAAGCACTGGATGCACAGTGCTGGTTTGACAAAGTTTCTTCACTTCTCTGAGATTGTCATGGTTGATTTATGTATTTGCTCTAGATGTTTGATTTAGATAACAATAACAATATTGACTGGCTTAACTTTCGGAAGTACCACACAGTGGCGGATCCAGGGAAAAAAATCATGCAAAATCACGTGATTTTTACCTTTTTTGGAGGTTGGCCCCCCCCCCCCCCCCCGGCGCTCAAGGTGGGGGGGGGGGGGGTGCAAATTTAAATTTTTTTGAGGATCAAAAAAAAAAAAAATGTGCTCACTACCCCCCCCCCCCCCCCCCCCACTGTGCGTTTTTCAAATTTTCGGGAGCAAAAAAAAAAAAAAAAAAAAATTGTGCTCTGTACCCCCCCCCCCCCCCCCCCCCCCCCCCCCCACTGAGCGACTTTTCGGCCGGCGCGATTTTCAAATTTTCGAGAAAAAAAAAAAAAGTTGGGCCCCCTCCCCTAAGAAATCCTGGATCCGCGCCTGGTACCACATATATTGCCGTCACAAGACCCAAATTGCCCTCGTCTGTGACTTGGGGCAATATCATTCTAGTTTGGGAAATATATGTTGTATCTCCCTTCAAGGCCAGTCAATACTATATAAATATTATTAATTAGACTCATGTTCTATAGACTTTAGCTTGATTAATTATATACAGCAAGGGAAACTTTTTCATCAATGTCAAACTATTTTGTCATATAGGTCATATTGAAATATATAATAAAGAATATCCAAAGATACATCAAACTTTGATTTTCATTTTTTAATTACACAAGCGCAATTTGAGCTCTTGCAGTCTAATGTTTCATTTAATTGAGCTGAAATGAATTGAAGATGGATCACTTTGTATTTCTATATTTCAATGTTTCTTTACTATTTCCATAAATGTCATTGAAAAGATGCCATTTTAATATGGATGAATGAGCACATTTTTGTATGTCCAATTGACCTTTATTTGACCTTATCATAAGAGAGGGTATTTTCGTGAGACATCATGTGACGCTCCCATGGAGAGTCCTGCTCTCTCTAACCGTTGGAGATCTACCCTCAATGCATGGGAACGATTGAGAAGCTCCTGCGTGTGACGAGATGGCCCAAGAGGGCGCCCTGCTGTCGTGTCTTGGACCCCGCCGAGCGTCGGGTCAAACTGCAAGGAGACAAAATGAGAATAAAAAAGAAAAATGATTTTCCCAGATGAGTTTTCAGGAAAACATCCTTCACTAGAAAGCTTTCATAAATTTACAGGAGTACACAGCAAGTTATTTGATTTGTGGCTTAAGAGAGCTTTATGATAATAATGGTAATAATATTCTGGGTTTTAAATAGCGCTTAATACATCGACAATGTCTCAAAGCACTTTACATTTCTATTGTTGAATATATCAGTTCAGGAGCAGACTTTGTTTGAGGATTTCCCTCCTAGGACTTTTTTTTTTATTATCATAGGTTAAATGGTGGTATCTGCATGACATAGGACCTGTCAAACATAGGACTTTTGATTTATTTAATCATCATTGGGGGAGCTAGCTTAAGATGGTGTGTATTTTTACCCTTATACAAAGTTAGTATACAGTAGGCTTGCGGGTGCACCATGTGAGAGAAAGAGAGAGAGAGTTGAGGAGTCCTGAAAAGGACTCTCTGTAATCTTTCTTGGGGGTGTGTAGTCCTGAAAAGGACTGTTTGTGTAGTCTTGAAAAAGACTGTTGGTTATCTTTCTTAGCTTATAGTTCTAAGGAGAACTATAGCACTTGGAGAGGATGAGTGGCGAGAGTGGCTCGACGTTTCAAGCAGGTTGACTATCCGCCGTCAGGAGTGGAGAATAGCTGGCGTGCGTGAGCTTAAGTCACCGGGGTTCGAAACTTAGTGTCTTTTACATTCCAAATGATTGTTTGAGTGTCGTTACTCACCAAAGAATTAGCAGCTACCATGGTTCTATCCAGTGATGCTTTCAGATCGATGGTAGACGCAGAGGGCATCATCGAAGGGCGGGAGTTCTGCCATCCTGCTAGACAGTGCTAGAACAAGGAATACAGAATACTATTACTAACATCAATAAATGCTTTATACCAAGGGTGTTCTCTCTGTTTTAAAATGGTGCAACGAGGACCACGAACCCATTTCACAAAGCGTTTTATCAATGACAAATGTCAAAATTTTTGACGTATCTGCTGATAACCAATCAGAAGCAAGGGTTTCACTAGCTTTCCGTAGCTGACAAAATCTGTCAATTGTCACTCATGACAAGTTTTGGTGAAATATTGTTGTATCTTTGGAGATAAGATAAATTTGGTATTCTGAACACTGTTGTAACTTTTGTTGTATCTTTTGTTGTATCTTTTCTCTCTCATCTCTTTGGCCTCGCCTGCGTTCAAACTTTTGTGCGCTTGTTATTGTGCTTATTAGTAATAAAATGGCGCTTAATTCTCATTTGCATATGCACATGAGAGATAATATGACAAGGTAATTGGTATTCTGAAAATTGTTGTATCTTTTATCTTATCTTACCTTGCATGGTATGTACAACAATATTTACAACAGGTAGGGGGTTGTTGTATCTTTCGTGGTGATATAATTGGGGCAATATTTCTTGCCCAGAACCAACTTGGTGCCAAAAGACGAGTTAGAAGAAGAATGTTTGTTGACCGGAAACATCACAGATGAGAACTTTCTAAGAAATTTCATGCCAGGATATGACGATTTTAATGCTCTCATCTTAAGCAATATAGTGAAGGCGTGAATTGTCTTCATGATCCACATGCCACAGCGCATATGATGACGCGCGTAATAAGCGCTCAAATAACTAATCACGCCCAAGATTAGTATGCGCTAGGCGCATCTTCAGATATGGCATAAAGTATTCCTATTGGTTGACCTACTTATCATGCTTATATAAAACAGATTTTGATTGGTAGGGACCCATGCAAATGGGTGTGTCAACAGTGTTAAAAGACAAGATAGAGGCGGTCCTTCAAGAGATAACACAGGGATAAAATGATGTTCAGAATACCAACTTACAACAATATTAGCGCTGTGTTATCTCTAAAAGATACAACAAAAGATAACACAAAACTTACAACAATGTTCAGAATACCGCCCCAGGACTTGCTCCAGGCCCTTCATAGAAATTTTGGATTATAAACCTCCCTTTTATTAAGCTTATTATCAATATACCTCTCTTTAGAAATCTAGCCATCTGATTTGTCGAAATTGGAACCGTGATTTTAGCCATTCCCGTAAAGAATGAAACGATGCCAGTACCTGTTAATAGTTCATGAGTGAGATTCCCGCAAGATTCCAGGTACCGGGAAAATAGTAAAATTTTGTTGCGATCTCCATTGGTTTACATGTTAAAACTTAGTTTGTGCGAGCGCGGATACCATACAGTGCTTTTTGTCTGCGATTCCCAAATGATTGTAACATTCAGTCATCTTTCCGGGGAAGATTAACTGACAGTGTCTCAGATTATCTGTGATGTTTTAATTAATCTTTACTCAAGAAAAGGATAAGGTAAGAACTCTTGGTAGATTTTTGTGTCAATTCGGTATATAAAACTCATATCGACTGCTTTAAAATTCGAGGCCTAGCTGTGTTTGTAGGCTCAAGGGGACGTTGCATCCTGCCATGACCCTGAGGCGCGCTAGGCCTCTCATAGCAGTCGATATATCTATACTAGTGATCCATTGTTTGTCTCTGATGAGGACAAACACAGCATAGTGACTGCAGGCCAGTCAGCAGTGAGACAATTATTTTTGTTTGTTCAGCTTACCTGAGACAAACCCATGGAGTCGGTAGGATCAAAGCTCTGTCTTCGATGAGGACGAACACGGTATGGGGACTGCAGGGTCGACCTTGGAATGCTGACCCTGGAAAGTCACAAGATTAAAGACATCTTAGAGAGAATATGGAGTGACTGAAATCACGCTTTCTTGTTCCAGTTTGCATCAACTTATTTGAAAAACATCTCACATAAAAGACATTGACAAATTTCACAATGAGGGTAATTTACCTCTAGATAACTTTGACTTTGCTCTTTAAAAACTTCAATCAGCATCATAAGACTTACCTGATATATGAAGGTGAAGATAGTGATTTCTTCTTTTCGCTGCTCCTTCTATGCTCACAGATGGCACATAGGCTCTCTCCATCGTTGTTTTCATGCAGAGGAACAGCAAACAGCCTGTCATTCAGCACATAGTTATGGATACCTAGAAGATTTTGTTGGATGTAAATGAATGTAAAAAACTATGTTACAAAAGTTCCTATCTTATGATCACTTATATAAAATTTAACACAGTTTTCAGAACAACACTCACAAACTAACATCAATTATATTCAATTACTTGGGGGTGTTTCACAAAGATCCTTAGTTTAACTTATCTCTAAGTTGGACTTTACATTTATGGAAAGCCGTTAGCATCTATGAAAATATTATTTTAAAGTTATTTTAAAAGGCATTGAATGTTGATTCAAATCATTCATATTTTCTATTATCAAGGAGATTTCAAATTATATTAATTTATAAAAAGTAATAAAAAATTGAATTTTTGCTTTTCAATATATTTTATTTTAACTAGGCTACAAATGGCTCCATAATTTTAAGTCCAACTTTAAGTTTGACTTAGGATCTTTGTGAAACACCCCCTGGACACCACTAAATATGAACTCACATTTATGTTCTTTAGCTTGAAGGTATGGCTCCTGAACCTCTCCAAACCCCTGAGATACATTCATCATCTCATCAGCAGCACTGTTGGGATAAATAAATAAATAAATAAATGATTACAAACTTAGTCTGTATTACTGAAACAATATTAAAGAAGGCTGTAGTGTAAAGCATTAGATCAATTACATGTACACTACTCACACACCAATCTGATCAACCCAATAATAGCATAATGTTGTTTTTGTTTGTTTGTTTGTTTTTATTTCATTTTATCTATTTGTTTATTCGTTCAATGATTCAATCATTCATTCATCCATCCTTTTTTTAATATAATTCATTCATCTATCTATATTTATTATTTCTTTTCATATTGCCTTTTTTAGGATAGGATGAGGTGGATAATAACAAAATATTGGATGGATTTGAGTGATACAAGAATATATTGCTCGAGCTAAGACAATATTGGCGAGTCGAGGACGAGTCTAATATTGTCTTAGCGAGAGCAATATATTCTTGTATCACACAAAAAACAAAGCAGTACAATATTATTATTATCTATAACAGTTTGACTAGCGAAAAAATTACCTCAGTAAATATGGCTTTATTTTCGTGTGATATCGCAATGATATCGATATCGGTAGTCAAAGTTCCCGGATGACTGAGCAATACAAAAACAATATTGGTCAGTCATCCGGGTACTGCACTAAAGATATTGAATACACTGATTTATTGTACCACTTGGCAGCCTTATAAATATAGATAACAATAACAGATAACTTAGCTGTAAAATAAGGCAATTTCCCCTATCAAGGCTCATTCAGAGATATGAAGTGGCATTTTTTTTCATAACATGTAAATGAATGGCGAATGCGCGCGACAAAGGTCAATTGCGTATTTACCGAGCTCTGTGTCATGAGATAAAGAAACGTGAAGTGTATTACACTGAATTCAGTATTTAAAATAATAATAATAATAATGCAGGTGTCATTTGTAAGACGCAACTTTTGACCCCCGGGGATGGTGCGTCATGGTTGCGTCATGTTCCCCAAAATCGCGACGCACAGTACCGTCATGGCCGCAAAATGTCCGTCACAATACTGACCCATATGTGCGTCATAGTAAGTCACTTTACCACGTTGCGTCATTTGGTGTGTCAATGGGACCGTCACTTTCTCCAAGCAGAAGTGTTTCTCAAATGTGCGTCATTGGCTAGTCATTTTCATGAAATGGTGTGTCATATGTTTGACTCAAATGTGCGTCGATGGAATGTAATGGTGTGTCACTTTCTGTGACGGAAGGTGCGTCATGGTATCAAAATGTACGACTCACATCAGTACAATGACGCACCATTCCCGGGGGTCAAGAGGTGCGTCTTACAAATGACAAGTGCATAATAATAATCCGTTTTTTTATATAGCGCTCAATACACCGATCCAACGATGTGCCTAAGCGCTTTACAGATATATTATTACCCCGGTCATCGGATTCAGGCTTACCCGCACACAATGTGTGCCCATTTTCCACTCCCTGGGGAGCATTCCAGCCAGTCGCTATTTTACAAGCGCACACTTGCTCGTCCAACCACATGAACGTTCGCATCCTACCGGGTACCCATTTAACACCTGGGTGGAGAGTAGCAAATGCAGGTAAATATCTTGCCAAAGGATATTAGTGCCGTGTCGGGATTCGAACCCTCGACCTTCGCATCTACAGTCAAGCGCCTTAAACCACTCGACCACAACACTCCAAATTATTGGTTTACTGCTCCATATCTATATATATATATAGTATGGCTTAAAGCCCCACTGCACTACTTATAGCTACTTGCGCCCTCTATATAGCAAACAATGCCTAATCGGTGACCACTGGTCCCCCATGATCCTCTTTTTCTTATGTTAATTGAGGGCTTATTTGATAAGATAACCACCTGTCAGTGACCATGCAGGGAGGTCTAATCCCTCCTGGCAAAACAAGCGCGTTGGGGCTTTTAACAATTATTTCAATGATGTGAATAACATTCATATCTCCCGGACTTACTCATCCATGACTGCAGTATGCACACACTCGTTCCTGTTCAGCTGACGGAACTCTTTGATCCCTTGAAGGTAGTCATCTGATTTCTCTTCGAGGGCGGGGTTGTTGTCCATCACACCAGCGATCCAATCGTAGCCCAGCAGGGGCTGGGTCATGTTGCCATAGCTACGATCATGAAGACTACCCTGGAGGGACACACCCTGTGATAAGCTATCATCGCGGAGGGAGCGAGGTAATGGCTGGATGGGGGAGTTCTGGTGACCTCTGTTAAGTCTATTGAGAAAACTAACTCTCATGGGAGTCTAATAAGTACAGATAGAGAGGAGAGTGAGAGAGAAAGGGGGGGGGGGGGAGGAAGTAGAACAAAGTGGGAAAGGGAGAGACAGAGAGGGAGGGAGAGAGAGAGAGAGAAAGAATTAATATCATTATAGTAGTAGTAATAGTGGTGTTTATTTTACCTGACAGCTAAGAAAGTGTAAATGCTTGTTAGTATAGCAATATTATCAAAAGTATTTACACAATAATAACATAACATATTAAGCTGCAAGCTTTATGTCTCCAATCACCTAAGATGTGAAAGGGACAAAGGGTTAAAATAGAAGTAATCAACACTAGATTTGTACATCTAAGATAATCTCAATACATTTTCCTCCAAACTTCTACATATATTTCACTATATCAGATATACCATATATATATATATATATATATATATATATATATATATGTCTCCTAATTAGTAATTATTGTAATTGTCTTACACAGAGTTACGATTGAATCAAATCAATGGCAAGTCAGTTCTCAAATCAATCACAAGTTTCCATTCTACTATCTCTAATGTACATAGTTGCGATTGATATAAACTCTTTGTAAGATGGGGCCTAGATCTCTGAAATGTTGCCCAAATTTCAAAACTTCAAGGCAGGATGCGGCATGTAGGATATATTTACCTTCTTTGGTCGACACCCTGGAGTATGAAGAATAGACCTTGGGTTTGGACTGACCTCCCTTGACCTCGCGGCCGCTAATCGATCGTTTCCTTGAGCCAAGAGTTGTTCAACATAACTCTCTTCAGCGACATTCTCTTCATCACTTTCTCTCCGTCTCTCAGTTCCATCTGTACTAAGATCTGTCATGTGAGATGATCTGTGATGGCTTTCTCTATGTCTCTCAGTCCCATCTGTACTAGTACCTGTCATGTGAGCTGATCTGTGAGGACTCCTGTATCTTGAGTCCAGTACGTTATGATTGGAATTCTTTCTCGAGGAATGATACATACTCGATCCCGCTCTCTTCGTATGGGAACGAGGGAGCCCCAGCCCCTTCTCCATGCTACGCTGCCGCTTCGATTCAGAACCATGATGCACCAGGCTAGATCCTCTTCCGATCTGCCGCGGCGTGTCAGCGTCTGATTTCCTTTTGCTGGGAGTCTGGTCGTCTGGTCGGCTCATATGTTCCGCAGGATGGTTTCTGTGGGAGTACGGTGACCTAGCAGGATGTCTCATTGGAGTGCTTGTCCACTGTGTGTTCCCTTCATCAACATATCTATGACTGCTACTGTATAATAGATATTAAAGTGACTCGGTTACATTGTTGAAGGTTGAAGAAAGAACCTGCGTAATTTTTGTATGAAATGTTATTTATTATATTTCTTCTACTGTACTAACTTTCCCAACTGTTTTTTCCATGAAAATAAAGCATAAGACAGGCTTTTAAAAATATTTCAACACTTAAATGTCGGGAATGGCATATAGAGCAAATTCATTGCTTTGTGACAATTTACATTCACCTAAAATGAAATTAAATTGTAATAATATAGTTGGGAGAATTAAGGAATCGATCATATCAGTTTTTCCCAATTTTTATCATTAATAATGGTCTGTTTTCACTCAAACTTTTGAAATATCTTTAATTGTACATCTAGCATTGAAGTCACTACCTTAGCACCATTTGCTCTCATCTGAACAATGTTACCAAGTCCCTTTAATGCAAATATTCATACATAGCATATAAGTAATCAAACAAATTTCTTTGGGCTACACTACGAACTACAAAGAAAACACCTCTGTTTGATCATATTGATGACATGGTTTGAGCAAAACTAAGTCAACTAACCTAACCCATCTAGTCTAAAGAAATAACTTTCTTTCAATTAATGAAAGAAGGGAGAAAACCTATTTGACCTCAAAGCCCGCTGAACCAGGCTGACAAATCTGGGAACCAGGAACTGGAAGAAAAAGGTGTGTTCAGCCCCCTCCTTCTTGTACTTAAATTATAAGGCTGTCAGAAGCTTGACCACAATTTTGAATTATCACCAACCACTAAAAAAAGCTTTCTCTATTTATATCCATTGAAAGGCAGTTCGGGGTGTAAAATTAATTTCGAAAAAATCTTTGAAACGAGTCTATTCAAAAATGAATTTGGAAATGAATTGGTCGGTTAGGAGTGGTTTGGCACAGGCCATGTTACAATGTTATACTTGTAGTATAAATAATGTGCCTAGCTAGAGAAGGGGAACATTACTTCATATAATCTCCTGAGCAGTGACCCGTCATTACAAGTTTGCCGACAAACCATTGAAACTTGTGTATTAAACTATTAAACATGTGTTTCAATGGGATATCGCCAAATTTGTACTTATGACGGTTTCCTGGAACGATGCGTTGGGCCCCTCTTACAAAGATCAATCGCAAGCCCTTCAATCAATCGCAGGTTTGCAGTCTCCTATCTCTTATATACAAAGTTAAAATAAGTTGCAATAGATATTGATTCTTTGTAAGACAGTGCCCTGATGTCTAGAAGGGTGTTACGCCTCACTTCACTAATACTCTTTTCACACTGGTTTTGCTTAACCCCGTACTATCCTTAACCCCAGACTATTTTTTTTGGCTTTTCACACACGCTGTTTTTAGTCCCGTACTACATGTAGCACCTATTCCGGAATGAGAAAATTCACGCTGTTCTCACTGCAATTCGTTAGCCCCGGATATCGTGAATGTTATGATTGGACAGTGGGCTCCTTACTTCGCATCTGGCCAGCTGCGATACGCTCCATTGCGTAGTACCGGACTATTTTTGTTTCTGTTCTCATTCATTTGCTTGGCACCGCAATTGCAGGGTTAGCAGGAGTTAGCACCACAATTGCGGGGTTAGCCCTGCTATTTTGCAGGGTTAGTTAACCCCGTGCTATAGGTTGGGCTAGCCCACTTTGGTATATACGACTCTGAACAGAAATTGGAATAGGCTTAACCCCGGACTATAGGTGGGGCTAAGACCCCCCCTTAACCCAACCTATAGTACGGGGTTAAGCAAAATTTTGCCAGTGTGAAAACAGTATTAGTATGATATGATATGACTCCCTTCTGGCTCTCTACAGACAATATATTCCTAATGAAACCTACCTAATTCGTTCGTTCTGCTCCTCTAATTCTCTCTGGTTTGGAAGCTTTCCCTTGAGGTAAGCATTAAGGACATGTTGTCTGTCCATCAGCTCTCGGTGTAGGCTATCGTACTGGCTCCGTAGTTTGGTCAGGTCATCCATATTGAAAGAATGGCTCCATGCAAGGCAAGATTATCAAACCTTTGAGGATGAGGCGAGTTAAATGAGGGAAGAGAGATTGGAAGAATACACATTATAAAAAATTGCATTGTTATTCATTCAGTCTTCTGTGACTTTACGATCTCGGTGTTGACCTCCGACTGTATGAGTGTTATACAGCGCATTACGGTAGCAGCACATTTACAGAAATTCCAGTCAGAGGTCAACACCATTAATAGACCGAAAGCTTCAGTCTCTATACCGTCGGTTGTTCCACTGAGACTACGTCTGGCTCCACTAGACCTCCGGTTATAGAGACAGAACGATCGCCTATGCCAGCCTGTGTTGAACTTATTCCGCTAGATTTTAGCCGCTAGGCCCCTCCCACAAACTTGCCACGGCCGTATTGTTATGCCCCCAAAATCCCCCAAAATGTCATTTTACCTCGTTCATTTCCAATTTTAAATTAGGCCTAGGCTATAATACATCGGTTCCACTTACTAACTTTATTGATATAATCCGTTTAATGGTCCCTTTTAAGGAAATTATGGGTCAAAATCGACATCCATGTTGAAAATCTTGCAAGCCGTGTTAAACTCTCGCTGCCGTCAATCTCATCCCTTCTAGTCTACGCCGAAGGCAAAATGATTATGAAGGAAAAACTGTGATAACGCCATTACGAACGTGTAGATGGCGCAGTTTTTCCTTCATAATCATTTTGCCTTCGGCGTAGACTAGAAGGGATGAGATTGACGGCAGCGAGAGTTTAACACGGCTTGCAAGATTTTCAACATGGATGTCGATTTTGACCCATAATTTCCTTAAAAGGGACCATTAAACGGATTATATCAATAAAGTTAGTAAGTGGAACCGATGTATTATAGCCTAGGCCTAATTTAAAATTGGAAATGAACGAGGTAAAATGACATTTTGGGGGATTTTGGGGGCATAACAATACGGCCGTGGCAAGTTTGTGGGAGGGGCCTAGCGGCTAAAATCTAGCGGAATAAGTTCAACACAGGCTGGCATAGGCAGTCGTTCAGTCTCTATAACCGGAGGTCTAGTGGAGCCAGACGTAGTCTCAGTGGAACAACCGACGATTATAGAGACTGAAGCTTTCGGTCTACCTATACCGCTACACGTGAAAAGGGAGCCGAGCTGCACTTATCGCTCTGGAAAGATATTCGCCAATATTTCATTATTTTTACCTCCAATTTTTAATTTTCGTAGCCAATTAGGAGTAGAAGTGGCATAATAAAATTCAGTGAGGAATGAATATGAGGCCACTGTCGTCGGGTGAGGGAAGGTGTGATTTCGGACACATTTTAAATTAGGCCTAGAGGGGTCTAGCCCTAGTTAGTCTAGGGTTTGTTTACATCAGCTATCTATCAGTACGCTTGTATGGGAGCCGTTTAAGGCTTGGTGGTATAGACCCTAGATCTAGTATCAATATCATAAGAATGTTACCACCAAGCCCTTAACTTAAGGCTATCCCCATCATACATGCTGCAGATCCCGCCGTCCACTGCACCGGCCGGTCGCGCTAGGGTCGGGGCGGCGCTGTATACGTACACCATACCGTCGTCTGTCGCGACAACAGTCAGCGTGAAATGATACACCAACATCAACATCAACGTATCGGACTGAATTGAAATAATGTAAAACGGACTAGGGTCTAGACCTAGACTATGTTTTAATAAATAAAAGATCGTATTTTTTCACATCTGAAATCATAACGATCACGATATAGTCTAGACTCTATACGCCGGCAACAATCATAACACACTATTACTAATAGTTAATTGTCAACGTAAAAGGAATATTAGCTTACGTTTCCAGTGGCTATCAAACTTCCCCGCGTTTGTTTACGTAAAATGCCATAAGCACATGCTTCAATTTGATTGGACGTGGAGATATGGGATATTTCAAATGTAAAGTAGGGGTAATAATATTTAAGGCACTTAGTACAATTATAATAGCTTAAAATAAGTCTCTAAATATCATACAGTTTTTAAAAAGTAAATTATTTGAAATTGTTTTGAATACTACTCATTGTATCTATGATGAGTAAAAGTTCGAAGAAACTCGTGAAATATATTGTTGCACCTACCAAATTAATTTGGCTCAGTCCACATGCGAGTGAAATGGGTGGGTCTTTGGGGTGGGTACTTTGTGTATCCACAGCTAGTACCGTAGTAGCTAGGTCAAGAGGATTTTGTGATGTGGCGAACTCTGCTTCGGGTCAATGCACTGGATTATCTCATCTTTTAATTATAAGAATATCATCTATCAAGCCTGGTTGTAATGTTAGATTGACATCAATCGGAAACTCTTGGGACCGATGCAACGAGCTAAGAGTAAAAGTTCTCCCGAAAGGGATAATCAATCCAAGAAAACAACCAAACCAGCTGAAAAAAACATGCACTACGCTAGCGCATCTAGAGCGAGAGAGAGAGATCGCAAAAGCCGAAGCTTCGGCAGAGGAAACGGCGTGTTCCGATGCCTTTCTGGAAAGACAGCCAAGCTTTTGATTCTCATTGCAGTGGGTTTCGCCATTTACTCTTTCGCTTCAAGTCATTGGTACTTTGATAAAAACAATGGGGAGAAAGTTCATAATGATCAGAACGTACAAAAGACTGTGGAGGAAAGAGAGAACGTGTTGGCCCATGGCCATGACAGAGATCAGAACCAGTTGGATCTGGTAGATGATGATGAGGATGATGATGATGATGATGACACTGATAGTTTCAGTGAAGAAGATGATGATGGAGAATCTGAGGTTATTGCAGATGAAGAATACAAAGAACAAGATATTGCAAGAGAGGAAGATAATGTGCAACCTGAAAAGAACTACGACCATGTTTTCAAGTACCACGTTCTGCAGACTTTGACGAACACAGATCGCCTACCCCATCTCAAAAAGAGATTTGAAGTGTGCCTGAAATCAATTCTTGATAAGTCTTCGGTAGATCTTTTGTTCTTCTTCGTGGTTGATGGACCAAGTAAAATTTATTTGGAAACAGCACTGCAAGACATCACAAATCAGCACATTTCAAAAGCTAAATTTCAGGTAATTAGTCTACTGGGCATGATTAATGAAATAATAATAATAGACTAGGCCTACTGATGATAATAATATTAAGAAGAAGAAGGGGAACAGCAATGATGATGATGATTGTTATTTCCTCTGCTTACATGTACTAAACATTTTCTGCTTGCCTCCTTGTAATTCATGATTTTTATTCAATATGAATTATGACACAAATAATCATTTTTAGACATCTAACTGTTGAGAAAAATAAAACATAGTCTAGCTACACTGTAAGCACTTTAATGATAGCTACAAAAATGTAGGTCAATATTGTTTTAGCTAGCTGTACTGACTACTGCATCCTGGGTAAAAAATGTTCCATGACATAGTCAAAGACAACTTAAAATATGTCTGGAGGAGACGGGTGATAACATGGGACCCCTTTCCCTCATATTGTATTTGTTATTCATTTTTCCCTTTAAACTATATGACTGTAAGGGACGATGCAAGTACCTTCATGACCTGTGATGAATATTAACAGTACCCATGTGAACGTAGTAGGACTCTTGCAGAATATGGACTACCGGTATGGAATATTTTGGGACATGGCATACCGTGTCTTACAATTTCATGAATTCCCTTGTAGAATTTTCTTGCATTTTCAATAACACACGTGTAAAAACATCTACTACTGGGTCTATCACTAAGGTTCTCCTCATTGAATGGTTTGTGATTATAACACATGGATAATGGTACTAATATCTCTCAAAGCTTGTCCAGATATGACACAGTAAACTGCTGCAAAAAGGCTGCACCAATTTTACTGCGCGCACAATTGTCGTACTGCTCGCATTCACTGAGCCGTATGTTATTCCATGGATACAGAAATGTGACGAGTACAATACTTTACGTCATAACATAAATGCCGCGGTTTTGCCGCATTGTATCTTTCTGAATGATGTTTAAGTCTAAAGTCATGCTAGGTGGCCATACTCCCAAAGAAACCACAGTCCGAAACATATGAAATGTTTCAATTGCTTTTATTTCACTTTCTATTTACACTCCAGTTCATCTTCTTAGACATCGATGCTCTGGCCAAAGAGCTTGCTCCTTTAGTTGAGATGATGCAGGAGCAGATACAAGGCAACCATCCCTACTACAAGGACGCCATCTTCTTTCTCTCCACCATGCTACACAAGGAACTCCTCCCAGAGTACGTCCACCGCGTCATCATGCTCGACACCGACCTAGTCTTCATGAGCGACATCAAGGAGCTCTTTGAGCACTTTGACCATTTCCAGGGCGACAACATCATGGGCGTCGTCCACGAGCAGCAGCCGGTGTACCGTCATATATTCTCTCTCTACCGGTCGCAGAATCCAGGTACCCGCGTTGGAAACCCTCCCCCAGATGGCCTCACTGGATTCAACAGCGGAGTCCTTCTCCTAGACCTGGACAGGATGCTGCAGAGCGTCCACTTCGAAGACTACATGCGGCCAGAGAAGGTCGTAGAGCTCCGGGATAAGTTCCACTTCAAGGGACACTTGGGTGACCAAGATTTCTACACACTTGTCTCGATGGAGAAGGAAGATTTGTTTTACAACCTTCCATGCTCTTGGAATAAACAGCTCTGCTCGTGGTGGAAAGATAAGGGCTATGCAGATGTCTGGGACCAGTACTACGTTTGCAAGGAGAAAATCAATATTTACCATGGCAACTGCAACACTCCAATACCTTTCTAACAGGAGTCCAAAATATTACTCCAGAGACCTGAAATATTGTTTTAAAATGATGCTATCATGTCAACAATTCAATATTCTGCTGTTTTTTATCCAATATTTTTCTCTGTAACAAAGTCATCAATAGCATGAATCATGTGTGTAATTCTGGCAGCAATACTGAGAAGCTTAATCCTCAGAGATATCCAATGCATCCTGTATCTTTGTTAAGTGAGCTTTCTTGATGATATGCTCTTGGAACATAATAGTAATGACTCCCTACCAAGGGGGTGTTTCACAAAGATCCTAAGTTGAATTTATCTCTAAGTTGGGCTTAAAATTATGGAAAGCCGTTGGCATCTTTGAAAATATTTTGTAAACGTTATTTGAAGAGGCATAAAATGTTGATTTAAATCATTCATATTTTCTATTATCAAGGAGATTTCATGTTCTTGATGTGTAATTTATAAAAAGTCTAAAATACTTCAATTTTTGCTTTTTAATATATTTTATTTTAAGGCTACAAATGGCTCTCAATAACTTAGAGTTAAGTTCAACTTAGGATCTTTGTGAAACACCCCCTGGACTGGTATTCAATTCAATGTCAGAATATGAGTATTTTACTCAATTTTCGGCTTAAGTAAAATACTGAAGCCAACTTCAATCAGTATCAGTGAGTGCCATTTAACAATGGACTAACATGTACACATGTAAATACTTTCAAAAAAATGTATATATGGTGGTGGAATAATAATAATAATACAAACATTTTATATATAGTGCTTATGATTATGACAAAGCAATGTACACAAATCAAGATTACCGGTACTTCAAGAAAAATCAATATTACCAATCAATGGTGGAATTAATATTACTCCAATTACCAAGAAAATGAAATATTACTATTTTACTAACATAGCTGAACAAAGTATTACAAGCTGAATGTAGATGTATGTTTTGTTTATGTTGTTCTCATATAAATTAAAGATAAAATTGAGTTCTGGTAAAAAAAGGAAATGATTCTCACAAAATCTAACGAAACTTACACTGAATGTTCAAGATGACAAATAAATGTCATGTGCCAAACAATTTTGGAAGAAAATATATATTGGCTGAGTAATGAGCATAGAAAGATAAGGAAATCAGGGTAGTACTAGCCCCGACACCATGTGTGTTGTCCCATGTACATCTTTCTGTGTAAGTGATTGTTACTTTACCAAGACTCTGCCAAATTTATGATGATTTTGATGACTCCAGAACCTTGCATTACACACCATTACTTACATGCTATATGATCAACTTTTCTGATCCATTCCAAACCTTTTCTTTCGCAATGCAATCGCATTACAAGAACTCAAGTTTATCTTTAAGGTTTTAAACAGGGTCTTATGAAAGGATCATGTATCAATTGATATTCACATTCATATACATACAGTATATGAATTTGGCCTAAGGCTTGATTTTAGCGACATTGACAGTGTCCATGTATGTAGTCATTCACAAGCCATCACATTGTACAAAATATGATTGCAAAATGATCGGTCGAGGTACATGTTTTGTATTGGATTATAATAATAATAATAATAATAATAATAACAGCCTAATAGTCCACTCCAAATTTTATTAAACCGAAACGGAAATTCTTTTTGCCCAATTGATCGTGAGCCCGGCAGCCACTGAGCAGCGCCAGATCGACGTTACTCTATCCCTTATTGTTGAACGCCAAACAAGGTAGCAACAACTCCCATCTGTTAACGTCTTTTGGTATGACGCGACCGGGGTTCGAACCCACAACCTCCCGGCTGTGAGGCGGATGCTCTACTGACTGAGCCAACACTCCGGTCCGGATTACTGGCATAGGGCATACATCTACATGTACATGTAATTACCTTTGCAGTTCATCAGCTCAATTAGCGCAGGATGATGCCTCATCTGCCAACTGCAATGGGCACCACTGTGACAGTAATTTGTACTTTGTTATATAGGACCCATTTCACAAAGCCTTTTTTCAATGACAAGTGACAAAGATCAGTGACAGATCTGCTGATAAAACCAATCAGAAGCAAGGATTTCACTAGCTTATAACAAAAACTGTCATTTGTCACTGATGACAAGTTTTGTGAAATGGGAGCCCAGGGCGCAACTTTGTGGTAATGGATAAATCTAAGACTTCTTTTCTTTTCGTTGTAATGGGCAAGATTTGTGTTCTGTACCCTTTGATTCCAGATAGTTGTTCTGTTTTTAGGTTTTTTTAAATAGTAATTCAACAAATGTATTCAGTGTTTCTGGAAGTCTGGAATGCACACTAATCTGTGACTAATGAGGAAGCTTTCTGTAGTTGTAGAACTGAAATGTGATGTTTACACCTTTATCTTGATGATATTATGATTCCTTACCTTAGGAATTCATTGTACTTATACAGGAGTACTTAAAGGGGATGTAGCATGACAAGACTATGTGTCTTTCCCGTGGCCTGATTTGGGGCAAATCAGGTATAATACAACTACCTACGGACGACAAGACCGCAGTATTCACATGCGTGCAACATACGCAAAACCGTTAATCAAGTCCTTTCGTTAACGTGCAGTTGTCAAAAAAAAGTTGTAGATGGCGTTAACCAGTATTTGCCATTCTACACCCCCTTTATTCATCTTCTTTCTGGTCCATGTATGTTTGCGAAGCTTTGTGAGCTTTATGAGTAGGGTCTAGGGGTTGTCAGTGTTCTTACAGTGTCTTTCATGAAATGTTTGCCTTTAATAAGACTTGTAAGAATTGATAAAGGTCATGTACAGTTTTGGTAAGCCCTCAAATATATTTTGCTGTGAAGTTTGTCCCCTCAACTGAAATATTTAAAGTGACTCGGCATTTCCTCACATTCTGAAACAAAATCCTGGAATTTAACTCATGCTGCAATCATAATTATAAACCTTTAACGTGCAGTTGTCAAAAAAAAGTTGTAGATGGCGTTAACCAGTATTTGCCATTCTACACCCCCTTTATTCATCTTCTTTCTGGTCCATGTATGTTTGTGGAGCTTTGTGAGCTTTATGAGTAGGGTCTAGGGGTTGTCAGTATTCTTACAGTGTAATAACTTTCATTGTTGATAACAAACAGTGTCTTTCATGAAATGTTTGCCTTTAATAAGACTTGTAAGAATTGATAAAGGTCATGTACAGTTTTGGTAAGCCCTCAAATATATTTTGCTGTGAAGTTTGTCCCCTCAACTGAAATATTTAAAGTGACTCTGCATTTCCTCACATTCTGAAACAAAATCCTGGAATTTAACTCATGCTGCAATCATAATTATAAACCTTTAGGTCAGTCAGGAATCCCAATATCCCATGACTTTTACAAGCCGATCGCCTGTCTGATTACCAAGAAATTTATGATTGGAAATCGAAATCGAAAAGTTTTTATAACACTACAGGCTATTGGGATAATGAGTATGGTAAAACCGGTCACTTAAAGATTTTACTTTTTTGAGGCACTTCATGATCATTTTGAAGCCAATTTTTTAGGGATTTAATATTACACCATATCACAGACACTGATAACACGTAGGGCCATGCATCTCAAATTTAACATTGTTAAACAATGCCTTTATATCTCAGATTGTTAAATGATGCCTTTAAGGGACTTTGTAACATTGTTCAGATGAGACAAAATGGTGCTAAGTTAGTGACCTCAATGCTAGATGTACAATTAAAGATAATCAGAAAATGAAAACAGACCATTGTTGATGGTAACAATTGAGAAAAACTGATCTGATTGATTCCTTAATTCTCCCAACTATGTTATTACAATTTAATTACATTTTAGGTGAACGTAAATCATCACAAAGCATTGAATTGGCTCTATACCATTCCAGACATTTAAGTGTTGAAAGATTTTTAAAAGCCTGTGTTATGTCTTATGTTCATGGAAAAACGGTTGGGAAAATTCAAAAATGGTTGGGAGAATTTACTGTTAGAGGGTGTCGCACAGTGACACCTTCAAATAAAACCATAAATATCTTTGTGGTCTGAGAATATGTTCAGGATTTTTGGCAGGTTAGAGGGTTAGTACAGTAGAAGGAATAAAATAGGAAACATTTCATACAAAAATTTTGCAATTTTTCATCAACCTTCAAAAATGTTACCGAGTCACTTTTATGATGCCAATCATACCATCCAATTTTAAAACACCTCCTTGAAAAAAAATCCTGCCTAAGCTACTGTACATGCACATTATACTCACGTTGTCCAAACATGATTTGTATTGGCAGTGTAATTGGATAACTTTATTGCCCTTAAATCATTTTTTTTTTTTTTAAACAGCTGTTGCAATCACGTTTTCAATAATTAATTTACTTCTTATCTATCAATTAAGGTGTAAAAAGGTGTTTGCAAAGATGAAAAAAAAATATAGTCAATTATCAGAAGGATTTTTTTCTTCTTCTGTCGAGTCAATGAACTGTGGAGCCAGAACATTGGATTTCACCAGTGAGAAAGTATTGCATTGATGAAATTTTCTTATATTCTTTGTTCTGCATTTACTGTGTACATTTTCCCTATTATACTTCCATGTTTCAGCCAGCTAATCATTCCTAAAGTCTTTCATTGATGTAAATATTATTAACTTATCTAAATTTTGCTAGTAAGAAAATCATGCACGTTGCAGTTTAAAGTTTGATATTGAATAGCTGACTTCTTTATTGATCAACGAGATAGCCGATTTGGTTTCCTTTTATCATGTACACATTTCCTGACAGTTTTGTAATCGCTTCTCAATCACGACTTGAATAAATTTCTTGTGATTCATAGCTGGAATTTATATTTTTCACCGCTGTGATTTCGTTTTTACTTGTAATAGCACATGCTTGGCAAATATGCTATGGTAAAGAGAGGTAACGGGTATAGTAAAAAAAAAAATTAAAAAAATGAAAAAGATAGAGAAAGTAAACTGTTGTGGACTAGAAATTCATGTGACTTATTGGGATAATATGTAAGAAAATGGAAACGGTAAGGGAGCCATGGTTTATGGGTGCTGTTGGAGTGTTGTCTTGTGTGGAGGTATAGGGGAGAAGGAAGGAGTTTCAAGATGCCGGACTGCTTTGTTTGCAAACAAATGTCCATGAAAAATGAGTGATATGTACGAGAAAAGAGAGAGAGAGAGAGAGAGAGAGAGAGATACAAAATAAATAGAAAAATTAAAGCAGTATCCCTGAATGCGATGAAACCTGATATGTATAAAACTGCAAAAATTAAGAATGCGAGACAGAAACACGACAAATCCTTATTCTTATTTGATTATACTGTACATATGTTATGCCTTGTTTTTTTTTTGCATTTGAAATGGTTTTATAAAAGTTTGGATAATAACATTATAATAAAAATAAGTTTGGAGGTCAACGTCTGGCTATTTGACCCCCCCCCCCCCCCCCCCCTCAAGGCACCGGAATGTGCAGTTCTGATCCCAGAGGGGTAGGTTGGAAAACCACTGTAGCTCGGTATAGGTCATGAATGCGGTAGAAAAATACAATATTTTACTCGGTGCATCCGACTCGTCTACGACCAGATAGATCTGATAATATCTATTACCTTTAGAAGTTACAAGAGACAATGGGTGGAAAAGGCTCTTTGAACTTTGAGGAAATTTACTTTTTTACTCCAGATTTATCTATTTTTACCAACAAAATCATCGCATTTTATGGGTGTTTCTTCTTCTCCCAAATTATTTGACAAGGAAAATAAAAGGTCTACCCATTTTGGTGTGTTTTTTACTGGAAAAAAAAATTGGTCCTGATTGGCTTCGTTTTAGAATAAAATACACATAATCGCAGAGGGGGAGGGGAGCATCTAATGTTGTGACCCTTCTAAATCATTAGTTAGACCCGCCCCCTCCCCACCCTCCTCAGTGCAGTGATTGCCGCCTATTCAAGGAGACATGGTTCAGGGCATTCTACCGACGTTGCAAAAAAATCCTGTACAAAAAATCAAACCTGAACATGGATGTAGATCATGTAAGTGATCCAAAGCGAAATGATCAAACTTGTGCAATAGGCCATTTTCGTAATGTAACCAAATTTAATGCATAAGTCTTTGTGAAGTGCCTCAATGCAAATTATTTCATTTACCTGATAAGAATAATAGTAGTTCAATAAACAGAATTCCAACTGCATACATTAGTTGTTCCCAGGTTGGACAAAAATTATGGCTTGACCTACCTAGCAACACTTGATATATGTAGTTTGCATTCTGACTATTGAAATATCAGGTGAATGAAATAACTTGTATGGAGGTACTTCACGAAGACTTATGCATTTAATTTGGTTACATTACAAAAATGCCTTATTCATAATCATTCCTTTGGCGTTTACAGACATTGCGCTATTAGCCTGGGTGTTTGGAAATCGAGGAACGAAGACCGATAACCGGGGACCATGTGAATAAAGGAAAACACCCAAACACCCGACAATATAGACACCTGGGTGGGAACTCTTTGTTGTTTGAAGGCTAGCAAACCTTTGTGCGTGAACATGGGAAGAAACACATGGCAAGAAAATAAATATATTAAAAAATCAATCAACACGTGTTTTTTATTGTCGCTTTCAAAAGTGAGTACACATCAGGCGCGTACGCCGGGGGGGGGGGGGGGTTGACCCCCCCCCTTAACTTTTTTTTGTATGTGTGTGATTTGAAGTTTTAACCCCCCCCCCCCCCCTTGTTGTTTATTTTATTTAAAAAATGGATTTTTTGTTGTTGTTGTTATAAATCGTGGTAATGGGTGACCAAAAAAGCTGACCTTACCACCCCCCCCCCCCCCCCAACGAAACGAAATATCGATCGGCCAAATTTTCAAATTTTGGACACAAAAAAACAAAAATAAAATATGCTCTTACTTCCCTAGTGGCTGAGTAATGAGCATAGAAAGATAAGGAAATCCAGATAGGGAAATCCGGAAGTAGGCCAAACTCCGGGCCCCGAACCATGTGCTTAAACACAAGTCACTACGTGCAAATGAGAGTTGTGGTTTTTATCGAATTAGATGCCCAGTAAGTTTTTGTGCGTTTATTTTTTATTAAACTGGTTCAAACAACTAAACTACTGCCTGATAAACAATCCAAAATAGCGTATTTCTCTCAAAATACGATTCCCAAACCAGAGCTCAACATTAGCTTTAAATCAATGTGTTTCCCTTTCACAATAGCTACCCCCATTACGTTAAACTGAAACGCAGACTATCCGCATCCAACAGAAGGAAATATATCGGAATCAAAGAATAGATTAGCTAGCTCTTAGTGATGCGAATTACACATCCCTCAATTCTTAGTTCATTCGATTGTCAAAAGGCTACTCAAGAATAATGACAATTGTTGCAGCGGAAGATTTATTGATAAAACTTTATTCAACTGAAATACCACATAACACTTTTTTACCATTGTCAAACAAAATACATAACTGACCCAAATACCACAAAAAACATAAAACGCATCATAATTATGATTACTACTATTATCATTATGCACACAGCTATTTACAATAAGAAAATGGGAGTGATAATGGGAAGAAAGCTGATTTCTAATTAGATTTAAGCGTCTGAAGTACGGTTTTAAAATGTCAACTCCCGTGAACCAAAAAGATTTAAAAGGCAATACGACTATAATTTACGATGTCTACCATTTTTTCCAAAGTTTGTTTTTTGTGATTTTGATATAAAGTTGAAAATAACAAATATTTTACATGGTTTAATACAAATCTAACTAATGCATTAGAGTTTAGACATGAAAGACTCTCAGATAATAATACCACATATTCTTCTACAATTGTATTTAAAACAAAGTTTAGTGAATTTTTCTGCAAGAGTATCTTTATACCTGTGTTATTTTGATGTTTTTGAATGCATTTACTTGCTTGCATTGCATCAGTCCGGCTGCCTAAGGCTACTTTTAACCAAGCCATGCTTTCGTTAACAAAGCGCAATAAATTGTGAATATAATTTAGCCCTATAGTCAAATACTCGCTCCCACAAAGAGCTTTTGGTGACGACAGCAAACAAACCATGGGGGTGTTTCACAAAGATCCTAAGTCGAACTTAACTCCAAGTTGCACTTAAAACATTATAGAGAGCCATTTAGAGCCTTAAAAGTAAATATATTTAAAAGCGAAAATTGTATTTTAGACTTTTCATAAATTCCACATCAAGAACATGACATCTCCCATGATTAATAGAAAATATGAATGATTTGAAACAATATTTTATGCCTTTTGAATTAACTTTTACAAAATATTTTTAAAGATGCTAACGGCTTTCCATAATAGATAAGTTCAACTTAGGATCTTAGTGAAACATCACCATATGTGTATGCTCATCTTTCTTCATGAAATCACAATACGGGGAAAGGAGTAGTACGCAACGCAGTGATAGGTGTGGGGCACCGCGGACCGAAACAACGAGATGCTCGGCGTTCGAGGAGCGCGTCCTGTGAGTGTCGAGAAGAAGGCGTAAGTGTGACGAAAGGGTGCCGAGAGGGTGCCGAGAGGGTGCCGAGAGGATGATGAGAGGGTGATGAGAAAGTGGCGAATGGGTGCCGAGGGGTGACGAGGGGTGACGAGGGGTGCCGAGGGGTGGCGAGAGGGTGCCGAGAGGGTGATGAGAAAGTGGCGAATGGGTGCCGAGGGGTGCCGAGGGGTGACGAGGGGAGGCAAGGACATGTGGAGGTGACGAGCGGGTGCCGATGTGGTGCCGAGAGGGTGCAGAAAGTGTGACGATCAAGGCAGCTAGTACTCCATACTCTGTCCAGTCTGCTTTGCTGCCTTACCGCTCTTCTTTGGAAGGAGGACCGTTTGAATGTTGGGCATCACACCACCCTGAAGATAAGAAATATGACGAATAGGGATATTGGGTATATATTTCAACAATTCCTAGACAATTTTTAAAGATTCTCACTCCTTCCATGACGTAAACATGGTCAAAGCAAGGGCGAGGGACAGATATGACTACAAAATTACAAATATGATTGTTACGGAGTCAGAATCATTGAAAATATCAGTCCAGATTCAATTAAGGGTTCTAAATAACATTTATTTCCTTAATTTAGCAAGTATAGTTGTCAGAAATAGTTAGGAAATGAATGAACATAAGTTCTATGAAACATTTGATTAAATACAAGCAAATTTTCGTGGAATACAATGAGGTGTCCCGCATTTGCGCGACATAAAATTAAAAGACGTTCCTATACGTTGTCCCATTTCTGATGTGACTCCTGGCAATTCTTAACCCGAAACAAGAACAAATATAGACTGTTCCAATTTGGTTGAACAATTTTACCTTTTTTCTTTTTCAATGATATTATAATCTAATTTACTTTCAGGCAGCGACAATGATGGATTTGTCTAACTTGTAGATATACTGTGCAATCGTGTTTCATTAATTCTTAACAAATCTGAAATGACAAGAACTTATGTTCTCATGTTACATACCGATGCGATAGTGACATTATTCAGGAGTTTGTTTAGTTCTTCGTCATTTCGGATGGCCAACTGAAGATGTCTCGGGATTATTCGGGATTTCTTATTGTCCCGGGCTGCATTCCCGGCAAGCTCCAGGATTTCAGCTGAGAGATACTCCAGGATTGCAGCGAGGTACACGGCTGCACCTCCACCGATCCGTGTAGCATACTGGCCTAAATGAAAGATAGGAATAAAGTAAGTAAAGGGGTGAAATAGCATGGGAATGGGCTTAACTTTAGAATAATACCCCACCAACAGGTTTAATGTACATAAACTTCAAAGGCGTAGAGTTAGGGTTAGAGTTAGGATTAAGTTTTACTTAAAAAGCTCATTGGTGAAGCATTTGGTACCTTACTAACGTTTGGTCAACTTCAGTGGTGGGATATTCTAAAGTTGCTCCCGGGAATGATTTAATCATGATTAATCATGAATTTTTCTGATGTTCTTGCGGACCATTCTGCATTTCATAATTTTAATTTGCTAGTTTGTCCATTACATTTTGTTCCCAGCTCTATAACACGTAAAAGAAAGATAATTTTCTTGATTCTGGTACAATTAATCCTGATAGGCATTACGGACAACTTATTTAAAGAAAACGTTCCCTCAGACACTCGAGACACTTAGATAATTACTCCTTACAGTGACTCGGTAACATTGCCCCAGATTTTGAAACAAAATCCTGGATTTAGCTCATGCTGCAATCATAATTATTAAATATAAACCTTTAGGTCAGTCAGGAATCCCATGACTTTTACAAGCCGATCGCCTTTCTGATTATCAAGATATTTATGATTGGAAATCGAAATTTAAAAACTCGTTTTCCTAACGGTTTTCATAAGACTACGTTCTATTTGGGGAAATACACACACACAACATACAACATACACACACACACACAAATGAAATACACACACACAACATACAACATACACACACACACACAAATGAGTATGGTAAAACCGGTTACTCAAAGATTTTTACTTTTTTGAGGCACTTCATGATCATTTTGAAGCCTAATTTTGTTAGGGCTTCAATATTACACCATATCACAGACACTGATAACAAGTAGGGCGTAGGGCCATGCTTCTCAGATTTAAAGAAAAGGTGATATACTCCAAACAATTATCCCTAATCAAAAGACCATCTGGTTAGTCTGAAGGTAATTGGGGTACTTTGGATGGTTAATCGTCTGGGATGATAGTCCAGGCTAGCGCTGTCATCATGCAAAAAAATATTTCATCTCGATACTAAATCACTTTTTTTCTTCTACCATTCTTACATACTACATACATACTAAAGGGGATCTACAGCCTTTCCTTTAATGTAATGTGCGAATAGGAAAAGAGGGGATCTTATTATCTCGGGAAAGTTGTTAAACAAAGTTCCAACCACACCCGAATTTATAATGTGCTTTCTCTCTATATATTTTTTGTTATACATCCTCTCCCGGATCCTCTCTCCCTCTCCCTCTTCCTCTCCTTCTGGCTGTTTTATCACCAGTTTTCGATGTTTCATCGACATTTTCCTTTTTACATTCACGATACATAAAACATCAAATTAACAATCTAAATATAGGGTTTATCTTCTCCCTGTAAAAAAATATCTTTACTTTTCTGATTTCGAATTGTCAGTGATCTCTAAAATTTATTTTAAATCTCGACTCAAAATGTGTTTTCTTCCTCGTTTAAGCGAGAAAAGCGAGAAAAAATTTCACGTAATTTTCAGATCCCATATCATTTCTTATCATTTTGGAAAAGCCTTCAAACTAAACTTGTGCTTTAGGAGCGAAACAAACTTTCCTTTCACATCTAGTTTCCTTACCTTTTTTGAGATACCGATGAACTCTACCGACGGGGAACTGCAGACCAGCCCTGGAGCTGCGGGTGACTGACTTGGTTGATTTCGCCTTAGCTCCTTTCCCGCGTCCACTCATGATTCTCCAAAAATGTTTCCCGCCAAAATCAAACACAAAATACTAAGAAAAGGAGCGTTGCCTGTCTGCCTGTCTGTTCTGCGCTGGAACTTATCGCTGAATGGCAAACTTACTAGTGATGTCGGCACGGAATATGGCAAGAATTAACACAAATTGATTGTCTAAATACGTAGGAGTTGATTGGGAATAAATCAGAACATAAAATGGTTTGGGTGTGGTCGAGATATTTGAGAGAAATAGAAAAATGGCGGCAAATCCTCCGATCTTAAATCCATGGAACCGTTTACTTGCAGAGATCATGTCCAGTATTGTGTATGCACGCATCATTCTCCTCATTGTCAAATTCCGTGCTACTTGCTCAACCTTGAGCGACGTAGCAACAAGAATAATGACTAGACAGGTGTATGGAATAGCTCAACAATAATACAGGAAGCTTCGTAGTTGGAATGCTTTCTATTGTTCCTCGGTAAGAGTCTTTTCTGGTCAGGCATACAACTTGCTTTTTCAGAATCTGATGTGGCATTGTCTCGTCAAACAGATTCCTTTTTCCAGATTGAATGTTCTGTGAATACTTAATACCCAGTTCACTAACCGTTCACTAACATATTTAACATAGATAAAAGTTATTTCATTAATTTGCTATTAATGGATGAATTACAATACTTGGAATCCAGTCTGCATACATTACTTGTTACTATGTCAGACAAGCCTCGGACAAGCTTTCAGGTTGTCGAGAACAACCTTCGTTTAAACAGTATGCATACAATTTTAATATGTCAGTAAATCGGTATATAGTATGCAGTGTGAAATTTGAAAAGCGTTTTTCAGAAATTCCTACTCTTTTAGAAAACAGCATGTCAGAGTTCGTCACCGGCATGCATATTTTTCAAACGAAGGATGTCGATGACGACTATCTGAGGGTCACTTGACAAAGCGACGGTCAAGCCTATGCTTATGGGAGGGGGTATCCCAGCCATATTAACTTTACAACTTTATAGTTTTAATAGAAACTTTATTGTAATTTTTGATTTGTTATGTAAATTGTATTGTTTATGTATTTTGTCTGAAATGGTGAATAAACAAAAATCACATGAAAGGTCGATGTTGGATTCTATCAACGAAGATGTTATCATCTTTAAACCGATAGCTTTAGTTTGTCACCAGGAATATAAGAAAAATGCTACCATAAAACTGAATGCGTAATCTTATTGGTATGGTAATGTATACCGAAGAGATGCAGACCTTTCTCTTATCCCGTCTGTATTTGTGCCGAACGTTTAGAGCTCGTTGCAGGTACAAGTACATGCATTAGTTCTAAGACATTGGAAAAAATATAGATTTACAAAGGCAACTCTTGTTTGGAATGGCTTTATTAAATGCCTCGTCAAAACATTTGTTAGCAGAGTGTTTAAATGCAGCAAAACAATGGTCGATTGATGACCTAAATTCCTTGACAGAATGATGTAAATTAGAGAGAGGGATCAATGAACTCTCAATTCAAAAGAGAAGTAACACGTACACGTGTAATAAATTTAATATGTACCTAAACGGGAACAGCATCTGCCGCCGCGTGCTGCTGCTGATTAGCTAAGCTTTTTAATAGGATGTAAATTTATGCAGCGGGAAAACACTATTCAAATTTTCGGTCGATTGAGTACGCAAGATCATATTGATAATTTGAACTCACGATATCTTTACTCGTATTAGCTTTTTTTTTTTAAAGCTAGAACGACAGTATAGGCACATCATTTTGCCGAAAGCCACAATAAACAAAAACTGGAAATTACTTTATTCGTCCCTTCGTAGTAATTTTGAGAGAAAAGGTCATCGTAGCTTCGGGTTTAGCGTAAATCAAGTGAGAGCAGACGACATATCACCATGTCTGGGCGAGGAAAAGGCGGGAAAGGACTGGGGAAGGGCGGCGCCAAAAGGCACCGGAAAGTGTTGCGTGATAACATCCAGGGGATCACCAAGCCAGCAATTCGACGCCTGGCCCGGAGGGGAGGTGTCAAGAGAATCTCCGGTCTCATCTACGAGGAAACCCGTGGCGTTTTGAAGGTAAGACAGCTTCTTTGTTTTTGTTGTTTTCAAAAACAACATTTGATTTTAACCAAAAGTATTATAGAATTTAAAATGTCGTCCATGCGTACCGAAATGTTTTGATAATTGAATTACATATTTATCCGAGTGATCGACGAGTGGAAGTTATTATTCTCATTGATAGATTTAAATTGAAAGTTGGAAAATAGTATTTGTACTAATTTTGTTAGTATTTTGTCGGTTTACACTTTGTCGGTAAAAATAAATCAACAATTTTGTAAGTTAATTGAATCAGGCCCTTTTGTCAAAATCAAATGAAAATCGGTCAAATGGACAGATTATTTTAATAAGATCGACATTTCAGTCAAGCGACTTTAGTATATTATTTTACTTCTTTTACGTTTGTAAGTTGAATATCTTTCAAAAAGTTTGTCGATATAATATTTGTTGTATTTTTTAAGATCATGTCTGATAAATTTCAAAGTATTATACCGAGAGAAAAAAAACAGTACAGCTCCTAGGCTTGATTATTTTTGATTGACAATAATTCAAGATAATTTTTTTGAACAATGCTAAAAATGTACTTGAATCCTCATGTGGATTGCAATTCTGCAAATAGTTCGATGAATATATGCTAAGAGCTTTGTTCTGTAATGAATGAGGCCAACACTACTACCCGTTGTTGCTTTTTCCTCTTTCATCTCAAGTAAATTCTGTCACACATCAACCCCATCCCCTATTTATCATTTCCCGCCCCCTCTTCTATGTGTGTCTCTCTCTCTGTGTCTGTATGTCTGTCTGTCTGTCCCTGTCTGTCTATCTCTCCGCCTCTCTCCCTCCGCCTCTCTCCCTCCGCCTCTCTCCGCCTCTCTCCGCCTCTCTCCCTCTCTCTCCCTCCGCCTCTCTCCCTCCGCCTCTCTCCCTCCGCCTCTCTCCCTCCGCCTCTCTCCGCCTCTCTCCCTCCACCTCTCTCCCTCCACCTCTCTCCCTCCGCCTCTCTCCCTCTGCCTCTCTCCGCCTCTCTCCCTCCACCTCTCTCCCTCCACCTCTCTCCCTTCGCCTCTCTCTCTTTCTCCCTGTTTGTGTGTCTCTCTCTCTGTTATTGTTGTTATTTAGGTTTATAGGCGTTTATCATTAAGGAGTGAGTATTTACGCCTGCCTGTTTTGATGTTTTTCTTTTCAAATTAGATTTACTTTTTTGAATATATAGATTTGGATAAATTGGAATTTAACACTTTTTGTCTTTCTTCCAGGTTTTCCTCGAGAACGTTATCAGAGATGCTGTAACCTACTGCGAGCATGCCAAACGCAAAACAGTCACTGCGATGGATGTAGTTTACGCCCTCAAGCGACAAGGACGGACTCTCTATGGCTTTGGCGGATAGGTGGTTCGGGCGAATAGGGGGAAATCCATTCTCGACATCGTCATAGCAACGAGAATGCGTCCGTAGCAACGTTGCTGTATGGTCAAGGACTGAAATCTAAGATCTGTTTTTGACAGCCTGTCGACATAATCGCATTTTCTCCCCTGATACTCCCACCATGCTTCTGCAAATGATACAGTTATACCCGTGATATTTCATTTTTCATTTTCATTTATTTTCATATTTCTCATGTTACATATACATTTCAAAATATTAATTTTTTTTCTTCAATAATACATAATAAATAACATAAAAATAAGAAGTCAATATATAGTTCTGATTTAACATAGAAATATGATGGGACCTGTATCTAAGCAAGCTTGTAAAGTTGTAGGCCCCGGTGAAATAATTTGTGGGGATTAATGGAGGACGGATATAAATACAAGTGATATGTTGCCATTGTGTTGTATAGTATGGCTTCATTTAGAGACTATACAGACTAATCTGAATTTGCCAACAAGTTATTTCTTGAACAGAATTGGTTTTCCGTATTTATTTATACAGTAAGGCATTATTGTATCATCCGATTTACTTTATGTTTTCCTTTATGATTTGATTAAAATAAATGTCTTTTGTACCTATGTTACACTGATTATCAACATTTGAATATTATACTCAAAACGTTGTACTTTTATATATAATATGTATCATACAAAATTATTGTAATAGGCCATTTTCGTAATGTGATCAAATTTAATGGATAAATCTTGGTTAAGTGCCTCGTTACAAATTATTTCATTCGATTAATTAATCGAAGTTGAATGCACTCTGCACTCTTTGTTCAGAAGTTATGTTTTATTACATATTACTTCCTTTTCACAACCATGTCTACCTCACTTATTTAATATTGTAGAATAGTTAGTTTGGTGTTTGTTTGTTTCAGTGTTTAATTTGATTTGTCATCGTTGATTATTGTTTGGATTCTAAATCTGGTATCCTGTTACTAAACGCATTTTTCGTTGACAACACATTTAGCCCCGGATTGTATGTGTAATTTCTTTGTTTGTTTAGTGTTTAAGGGTCTTATTCGTTCTGCAGATGAACACTGTAGACAACCATGATTTACAATTTGTATGAATTGTTGTTATTGTGGTTTGATTTTGTATTATTTAATTTAATTTAATACACATCTTCTATTCATCCCACGAGCTATAATTCGTTCTGATCTAATAGTACCTACACCGACTTAAAAAATAATAAGGTATCAAATACTTGCTTCATAATTTGTAAGATATTGGAATTATTCTTGAAATGTTTTAATATGTCATTTCAATAAATCGTAGAGAAGTAAAACTTGCAGGCGTATTCTATGTTATGTCATTTTCATATCTAATCGTGTAACAAACGATATTAGATCTGTAAAGCTGATTGCATTTTCACAACTTGTGTGTTTAAGATTTTTACGGTCGTTTCTTGTGTATTTCTCTGTTTGCAAGGTGTACGCTGTAAGGAGTGTGAGATATCAGTGTTAGCTTTCGCTTCGTCTTTCTCTGCATGTTGCTATGACAATCTCTCTCTCTCTCTCTCTCTCTCTTTCTCTCTTCTCTGTCTGAATGCCTTTCCTTCTCTGCCCCTGGTCGTTGTGATAAATGCTACCTCCTTTATGCCTCATTTTCTTTTTAATCCTTCTATGCATCTCTCCATCACCTTCTCTCACTCGCTCTGACTATGTATGTATGTCTCTCTCTCTCTCTCTCTCTCTTCTATGTGTTTCTTCATTTCCTCCTCTGCCCCTAGAGCCTCTCTTATAATACTATCTCTTTTATCTGACTCACTTTCTTTTCAATCCGTCTCTGTATCTCTCTATCCTCTTCACTCAATCTCTCTCTGTCTCTCTCTATCTTCTCTTCTCTTCTCTATATGTGTCTTCATTTCCTACTCTGCCCCTGCACTTTTTAATAAATGCTACCCCCTAATATCTGCCTCATTTTATTTTCAATTCATCTCTGTATCTCTTCATCACCTTCTCTCGATCTCTCTCTGACCGACTATATAAATATATTTGTCTCTATTTTCCTCTGCTTCTCTCCCTCTCTGCCACACACACACACACAACCACCCTCACACACGATTTGTACATCAAATATACATGTAGAATTTACGTTTACTTTCTTTCTTTGTTTATGCTTTCGTGTTTTTCTTTTGATTTGTTTATGTTTTTGTTCCCGTTTTCAATTCAGTGAGTCAGTTGGTACAAAACGATGCGTAATTATAGTTGCCTAATTAATTTAGAAATCAAAATAATTCCAATATGGACTCGAGCGTTCATTTTACATGTATAGACCATCCATGAAGATGGATTAATGCCCCTCTGTATACCAATACCAATATGTTCACAATGCTTCATAATTCTATATAATTTCGAAATATGCATAATGCACAATATTATGTAGCGATATACAGAGGTAAAAAGATCTATCGATTTTGAAATGATTATGGTGGTGGTGGTTATGATGATAACATGACTTTGATATGATAATAATATAAAAATAATATTGATATTACAATAATAAAGAAATTAAGTAATGATAGCCCGGTAAAGTTGATGAAAGTGGTGTTCATTAAATAAATATGATAGTGATTATTATATTAATAATAGTAGTAACGATATGGATGACTGTTTCTACACGCGGAAAAAAATGGATTGTGGAAGTACATTTACTAGCTCCTTGGGCACAAAAAAAGGATCTTCGTGAGGGGTAGATTTCACACGGTTCTACAATGTCCTAGCTTTAAGTTATGAAGATAATTATTGGCGTTATGGTTTCATGAAGTCATGAATGAAACTGCCTTGGCCTCATAGTCTCTTTAAGTTTGAAAAAAAAACCAAAGCGAGGGTTAATTAATAATGAGCCGTGATCCTTGTTTATTTACGGCAAAATGGGTGCCGTTTCTATATACCGTATAGCTAATCTTGAGCTCTGGTATGGGAATCGTAATGTTGAGAGAACATGGCTTTGAATCATTGTGGATTGTTTATTCTGCAGTAGATTGATTGTTTGAACTAGAAAAATAAACACAGACTCACAAAAGCTTGCTGGGAATCATCTTTCATAAAAACCACAACTCTCATTTGCACGTAGTGATCCGTGTAAAGCACAAGTCATGGTGTCACGCCTACGTACCTGGATTTCCTTATCGTTCTATGCTCATTGCTCAGCCCCTATACATTTTCAACCAAAATCGTTCGGCAAATGTCATTTATTTGTAATCTTGAACATTCATTGTAAGTTTTATTGGATTCTGTGAGAATTTATTTTCTGTCATCAGAACTGAAGCTTATCTTTAACACTGATTTTCATATTAAAAGGGGTAGAATTGCGTTAAAATCCTGTTTTCTGCAATATTGGGGCTTATTTTGAGAGCCTGATGCAGTCGTGTGTTATTCCTTCATAATCATAATAAGAGTTGATACTTGATCTATACAGATCAGCAGGACAATCAGTTGTTCCTTAATAACCTATTATGCCACAATCGTCGATCTCTTCAATGTTCTATAAATAAATGTATACAACTTTGAGGATCAATGTAAGGAAAAATCTCATTGTAATTACCTTATACAAACCATTTAAGAGACCATGAATAAAAGCGATCAATAAACCCATCGCATTAACCAACCTGCCCCTTTTAAAAGAATTTTCCTTACCTTTTTGTTCGAAAGAGCGGGTGGCTATAAGATTAAAAGAGTACAACAGATCGATGACAATAAAACTTGATTAAACAGACAAAACCTATACTTTCTTTTTGTGTTTCCACAAGGTGAATGCGTGTCTTATTTGCTAAGTGCGGCAGATCTGACGTCACACCAATCAGATGGCCATTCACTAATTACCGCAAAGACTGGAAGATGTTAGCTCAAGGCATGCAAGGTAAAGCGTGTCGGGTCACACATACACAAGTATATTATTCGCTCGTATCTCAGGCAAACAATCATTGTCGTCAACCAGCCAGGCACACAATCACCTGCGAGGTTTATCTCTGTCAGAGTCTGTCTCGATAAACAGCTAATAGCACATAAGTGAGTGTGTTTTTCAGTGCGCGCGCGCGGCGGCGCTGAATATTAGTGAACCTTGGATCTAGATGACCATTTTACAAGATGACCAGTTAGTCTTCATTTATTGACCACCCGAGTGTCCCGACCATCATTTCTTCCAGGAACGTTTCGATTTCTCGCAACAAAAGGAGATGGTTGCATGACGTACGCTCTTCTCACATGTTGTAGACTGACCTCAATGAGAGTGGAGTTTTGTCGAAGCGCAATAAAAGACTTGACAAGATAATTGCGGTAATTGCGGTCTATTTCGCTCCTTTATTACATCGCCGTCGCTACAATAGCTATAGGCCTACTAACTTTCTTTTCATAATGTCGCGTTGACCAATGCGTATCGCATGTTGGAAGAAAAATTAAAAGATCTCTTTATCGGAAAGGATTTTTATCAGTCACGCATTTGTCGTAGCGAACTTCAAGGGGAAGACAATTGAACCTCCCCATCGACTCTCAAAGAATCTATCATCACTTCGAACTGTTAAATATTTGATTTCCTCGAAGATGTTGTGTTTCACGAGAAGAACCTCGGATCCTCTACCCCTAGTCCGACCCAAGTCACTGACCAAGTATCAACATATCACCTGGATAACTTGGTCCCTCCTCCGACCCGTCCTCGTCATCATCGGTTGTTTCTGGATTGGTTACCTGACCGCCATCGTGGGGCCCATGCTCCATGCCAGTCAGGACGCCAGCACGCGGCATCGCGTCAGCCGCTTTGCAGACTACCTCAACCTGCCCGCCAAAATTTTCGACAACAACAAAAGCGCGCCGGATGGGATCCTGCGGAGGTCGATCTCCTCGCCGCCGAGTGACGACCCGGGACGATTCCGCTACGTGTTGATCCCCCTCACGAGCGTAGAGACCATGTCGTACCACAAGAAACGGTTTGAGGTGTGCATGAAGTCGATCCTAGAGAAGTCGTCTATTCCTTTGTTTTTCTTCTTTGTGGTTGACGAGCCAAGTAGGCTCTATCTGGAAGAGACGATGACGATGTTCAGCAGGAAGTACAGGTCAAAAGTAGAGATACAGGTAGGCCATTACCACTATTTCTTATAAAGTTACAACTCGATCGGAACGACTTTCGAAAAATCAAACTATAACACCCCATCACCCGTTGAAATTTGCCAACATTATAACGACCATTTACGCAGCCTGGAGATGATTTCTATCGGGGCAGTTCCATAGGGTTTTTATATTGCTCAGCTCTTGGTGTGATTTTTTGAAAATATTTGCGATTGTGTTTAATTTTAAATCTATATATCCCCCCCCCCCCCCCTCCCCTCCCCCTATACGCTATTACGCTTGCTAGGTACATTCTTATCTTATCTTGTGTCCTGATCATTATCAAAAAGTGATGTTTTATATTTTTGTACCTTTGTGGCATTTTCCTGATTTCCTTTTTACTTTTCTTGTAATCATCGTTAATATTGTGCTCCCGGAATACCCAACATTATATTGCCTATCATTATAATGATCCGAGGTCCCCAGTTTTCTTTTCTGGCAGTCAATATATATTTTGAATGGATTCACCAAAAGGTGCATCTGGTAAATATAGAAAATAAAGTCTCACAGAATCCAACGAAACCTGCACTGAATTTTCAAGATTACATGACATTTGCTTCACAATTTTGGTAGAAAATGGATATTGGCTGCTTAAACACAGGTCATCATGTGCAAACGAGTGAGTTGTAGTTTTTATTGAAGATGATTTCCAGTAAGTATTTATTTCACTTGTTCAAACAACCAATCTACTGCAGGATAAACAATCCAGAATAAATCATAGCAATTTTCTCTCAAAATGCGATTCCCATATACCAGAGCTCCAGATTAGCTTTAAAGATGAAGTTATATGGTTTTGACCTTCATACCATAATACCCAATTTTATGCAACTACAAAATATACAATCCAGAAAAGCAAGACAGAGAGGTGCCCACCAGCATTATTCATTCTCTTTATCGCAGAAAAAAGGTTTCTCTATACAGTGCGTTCCGGAAAAAAACAAAACCGAGAGTTATCGATGTTTTATCATAACTTAATCACAATTATAATTAATAAATGACAAATATTTGCAAAGCTTAGATCCTCCTTTTTCATTTGTTGCAACTCATAATGATGAATATTTCACGCATGAGTGATTAAAAACAATTTGAAGAAAGTGTACCTAAAAAGTCATTTGGCGAACGGTATCTGAATTATCAAAGAAAAAATATCACATTTCTAGAAAGTTCATTTTCTGCCCTTTTCATTTGACACCTCAATCAGGATAAATGAGCCAGGAATAACAAAGTTCTGTTTGTTTAAAGCAATGCTTGCATGTCCATAATTGTATTAAACGAATTCGTTTTCACTGGC